GGAATTTTCATTGATAATCATATTTTCAATCTTAGCCAACACATCTTTAATATCTCTTACATAAGAGGGGAGATTGGGAACCATATCTTTGAGAAACAGATCTATATATTTTCCCTGTTTTATCTAGGGGACCATTAATGGCAGAAACAATCGGTCTACCCGGAGGATTTTCTTGATTTTTATGTATTTTAGGGATAATATAAAAGGTAGGATAGTTAAATTCTTTAGTTCTCAGATATTCATACTCTTTTTTGGTTAACAGACCCACTTCTTTTCCCAATGTTAAGATGGAATTTAATTTTTTTGCCACCACATGGAAAGGATTAGTGGCTACTTTCCTATATGTAGATGGATCACTCAAAAGGCGCTTCACCTCTTTAACGTAGTTTTGTTCATTTAAAATAACTACATTACCCCCTTTGTCACTTCTCTTAATTACAATATTCTTAGTCTCTTTTAATTCTTTGAGGGCTTTTCTTTCTTTTTTTGTAAGATTGTCACCAATTGGCATTTTCCACTCAAGATTTTTAAGATCGTCAGCAACAAAATCTAGAAATGTCGAAATCCTCATGTTGGAACGTATTTTCGGCATTTTTGTCGATCTAATATTCAGATCAACTTTTCTAATCACATTGCTGTGATTATCCAGATCTATTTCGTTCTCATCACCATCCTCACTTTCCTCCATGAGAGATATCAACATATCGAGCATCTTGCGGTCCTCCATGGACGAGTCAGAGGCCATATCCTCCAAAATAGTGGGATTACCATGTATCATTCTCAAGAAAACTTTTCTTAAAAATAAATTGACATCTTTAAATACCTCGAACTCATCCATGGGGGTCACTGGTGAAAAGGACATACCCTTATTTAGTAAAGAGACATGTTCCCTTTTGAGTGGAAAATTAGCCAAATTGATTACCTTTTTATCATGAATATTTCCATCTACTACCTCCTCTAACTTCTTGTTCTGCCCTTGTCTTCCTGATGTTTGTTTTTTAAGGATTCCTCTACTTTCTTTTTGGATCCTTTTCCCATCTGTAATTGATTGGTGCGAGGAGGTTCTCCATCTTGTTGGTCTAAAAAAGAAACAGATTTCCCTAGATTTTCAGACTCACTTTCACTAGACATGGTTTCCCCCATTGATCTAGAGTGTGAACGGAATACTCTTCGTTTAGATCGACTTCTACTTCTTTTTGTAGTGAGATCAAATATCTCACCTGTTTCCCAATCTTTAAGGTCACGTCTAAATTTAGTTTGTTTGGTAATTCTAAGATTTTTTTGTACTTTTTCAACTTCCTTTTTAAGTTGCTCATTATATTTTTTTCAAAGTTCTCCTGATTTTTAAAGGGATCTAATCCAGATACACTTTTACTGATAGCTTGATCTAATTCTTCAAGTTGTAGTTTTTCCTCCTCAACTATAAGTTTCATGCCATTAATCCCATGTTCTATGCATAGCACTTTCCATTTCTCTAGAAACCTTTCATTATGTAGATGTTCAGCCGGGACTACCTTACTTCTCAAACCACGTGGGATAATACTTTGTCTAATGTAGGCTTCCAAGAAGCATACATCCCATTTCCGGTTGAGACGTTTAATGATAAGCTTTTTATGTTCCCGAAACTTAATTTTAATATCCTCATCTTCAGTAGATAAACCTGAGCCTTCTGCTACAAAGGCTTGATGCATTTCCAACTCAACCTCTTCTCCTGGTATAAATGCCATGAATACAAGTCCTTCCAATCAATATATTCCAGCCGCCTTAAAAAATAAAAAAACTCATCAACCGAGGTGGTGGCAAACCAAATTACCAAAGTCAGATAACCTCTATGAGAAAAGGTCCATAAGAACCCAAAAGACACATTAGTTAAAGATAGTTATTTAGAGGTTGTAAAATAAATTACCATATCACCCAGTAGATGGCCTCCATTCAGTAGCCAAAGAAGACATGCAAAAAAAGGGGGGGGGTTGTGAAAAGAAATTCACAGAGAAAGTGGCTACATTATGAACAGAATGTGATACTCAGAAAAATTTCCAAAAATTATGCTTTATTACATATACAAATTTGACATTTGGGCAATCGCCCTGGTTTACCATCACCTCAGTATGAGACAATACACACAGACCTAAAACCATTTAAAATGACACCAAAACCAGTCTAAGTACATGTGCAACAAAGACAGTGACTACTAGAGTCTAAAGTCTTTGTAGCACTGGCGCATAGGTGAACACTTCCCACAGGAGGTGTATGCAAAAATTATACCATAGGTATAACATGTAACATGTTGTAAATATGTAGACATATGCTACTACCAAAATGGTTATATCCCAAGCAGGGAGTTTCAAAAAATTATACTATAGATATAAAATATTACATGTATGCAATGCAGCAAGCACAGTATGCGTCAAAAAGAGAGGCATGCCTCTAGGCCTATATGAGACAAAAAATGAATGTCATATATAAAATGCAGTACATTCCTATGCCGGCACATATGGTTGGGGCCCATTCATCTGTAATATAAGCGACTGTTTCCTAGGGCTCTTAAATGAGAATAAGCCCCATTTGTTACCAGGATGGAAGGATAGATGCAAATAGCAGAGCACTGCTTGAAATGGTTTCTTCACCACTGTATGTGGACTACACACCACTTTCTGTAAGGAAAACAAGACAAATCCCAATAGATCTTCACCAGGGCCCCTGATGGTGGGGATGGACTTGACGCAGCCTGAGACCAGGTCGCGGCGCGGCCCCCGAATGACCCCAGCTGCGATAATGACTGCCGCCAATGGCGTACAGCTGGTGGGAGCTAGATGGGAACACGAGTAGAGTAGTCAGACAAGCCGGGTCAATAACAACGGAGCAGACAGTACTAGACGGTAGGCAAAGAATACTCAGGTCACGGGCCGGGTTCAGCAACGGGAGGTCAGGTAAAGGGTTAACGCAGAGAGTAGTCTTGTCCAAGCCGAGTCGGTTACCAGGAGAGCAATGGGAACAACACAAGAGCTTGCAACAGGGCAACATACAGGACACAAGTGCAGAGCACATTTGCAGACAGCAGGTTTAAATGTGCTCAACCACACCCTTCTGAGGAGGAGCCGCAGAAGCCTGAAGGCATAAAGGTTCCCACCATGCTTTGCAGAAAACCAAGATGGATGCCAGCTCATGCAGATGCACAAACTCTGAAGAAAGGTAGGACCTTGACAAAATAGTAAGCAAGAGATAAATTAGCTGCATTGTGATGTGAAGCACAGAACACTCCCCCAAAGAAACCCCAATGACTGTTAAAAATGTATGAAGTTAAAGCCCATCTCCAGCAAAATTTACAACATTTACAGTCCTCTTTAACCACTAAGGACCACCTGCCTGCAATGTGCGATGGGACGGGCATCCAGTACAGGCACGTCGCTGGCCTCTTTCAGGTACAGGGCGCACGTGCATCCCTGCCCGCCGACTCCCGCTGTGATTGTACACAGCGGGAGCTTGTCAGCAGGTCCCGACCAATAATTCATGGCTGGGACCTGCTGATCAGCTGCTGATCAGCTGTGTCCAATCACAGCCCAGAGCCCTGTGTTGACAATCAACACAGGGCTCTGTACAAAAGGAATAATCTCTTTGCTTCTTCTCCCTGCAAAGTCGGGAGAAGGAGCAAAGAGATTTTCAATTAAAATCAGCACATAATAAACACATTAACACTTGTTAGGCACACATTTAACTCCTTGATTACCCCGAGATGTTAACCCCTTCCCAGCCAGTATAGTATTATCACTGATCAATGTATTAGTGTCACTGGTGATGTCAGTGTCAGTTCCCACCTGTCAGTCAGTGTCAGAATGCCTTCTGCACTATCACAGTCCCACTATAAATTGCTGATCACCGCCATTAGTAGTATAAAAGAAAAAATCCAGTATATAGTATATATATCATAGTTTGTAGACACTATAACTTTCACATTAACCAATCAAAATACACTTATTGGGATTTTTATTTACCAAAGACATGTAGCCAAGTACATTTTATATAATAAAAAAAAAAATTAAAAACCCAGTGGTGATCAAATACCACCAAAAGAAAGTTCTATTTGTGTGAAAAAAAATATACATTTTGTTTGGGTACAGCATTGCATGAATGTGCAATTACCAGTTAAAGTAACACAGTGCTAAATAGCAAAAAATAGTCTGGGGTAAAACCTTCCAGAGCTGAAATGGTTAAGAAATATTTCTGGGTGTTAGCTTTTTTGATTTATTACAAGACTTGTTGTTGATAATATATGGGGCATGAGGATGTTTTTAATAGTCAATGGGCCTTTATGAGTAGAGCTATGTACCCAGGATCTCTTTGCAGCTAACTTATCTCATGCTTAATTTTAGTATTTATAATGAATTGTTTGTTACTAATAAATCTGTTTTTTGCATACATAGTAATGCAGACATATCCTTTGTAGGGTTTTTGTTGGTATTTGCTCAGCCATTTCATAGTATGACTTGCAGGCTTTAGACAAGCCAACAGTTCATCCCTTTTCAAATTCAACTATCTGTTAGTTATTTTGTCTCCTACTTCTTGCCGTTTCAGTTTGACACACATTTATATCAGACGTTAATATTTTATTTTTATTGAGCTCTTAATGCAAACAAAACATTGTCAAATTGTGCACGTGTTATAATATATGTCAAAAATGCAGTTAAGAGCAATACTTCTCCCAATCTCTTTGAATAAAGATGTCATAAAATTCGAATTGATTAGAAAAAATAATCTTACAACCCAAAAAAAAAAGTTAGGACGCTGTATAACATCTGCATAGAAAAGGAATGCAAATATTTTCAAATCTCATAAACCCATATTTTATTCACAGTAGGAAATAGAAAACGTCAAATGTTTAAATTGAGTAAATGTACCATTTTAAGAAAAAAAAGGTAATTTTGAAATTGATGTTAGCAATACGTCGTAAATAATTGGGACAGGACCATGTTTACCGTGGTGTAGTATCCCTTATTCTTTTAACCTCCCTGGCGGTATTCCCGAGTGTAGCTCGGGATAAAGTTTCAGCACCACAAGTGGTAGCCCCGAGCTACACTCGGGAATACCCTGCAGCGCTGCTCCAGGATCTGTTCTTCACTTACCTTGTCCTGGGCTCCCACGATGTCCCTCCTGCAGTGTCCCCGGCAATGTTCTCCGGCCGATGCTGGCATCTGTCTTCTGGGTTCCGTTCCCTGCGACGTACATGGACGGAACGGTGGGAAATTTAAAAATGTGAAAAAAGTGACATTCACTAAATACACTAAAATCACATAGTAAAACATTACTGTATCAAACTATTTCACATACATTTTGTCCCTAGTGCTTTGTCCTGTGCCCTGCATGCATTTTTACTGTTCTTTTCTACCTGGAAACTGAGAAATGTCCATGGCGTCCAAAAAGCGTCCCTTTAGGTCAAAAGAAATTTTATGTCAGCTAGAAAACAGCGATAGTAAATTAGAAGCACTTGCAGAATTGAGTGATAATGATTTGTGGGGAAATTCGTCATCAGAGACTGAAAACGATTTTGCGACTTTGCTCAGTGATGTGCAAACTTATATTTAAAATTTCAGTGTTTTTGGTTTGATTATATTATTGAATTAAATGTATTATTATTATATTATTATTTTTTATGATTATTTATTAAATTATAATTTATGATTTCGTGTTTCAAATTTTAACATGCCCAGGATGTTTACTAGACTCTGACAGATTTCAGTGAGTTATTCCTAAAAATTACAGGCCTACAATAAAAAAAATACATTTTTCCATGCAAAAAAATTTACCACTTTGGAGCAGTATTGTAGGAACATGGATTATAAATAAGAATGCACGGTTAAAGGATATTATGAAGGAAGAGGAGTTAAACACTTTACAGGAGTTGAAACAGAAAAAGGAAATGTTTCAGACTATGGATGAATGGCGGTACTATCAATTGAGACATTTCGTTGTATCACTCCCACAGCCATTGAGAAAGGTGATAAATTTGTATCCATTAGAGCAGGGGTCCTAAATCTTTTTAAACAAGGGGGCCAGTACATAGACCTTCACACTGTTGGGGGGCCAGACTATAGTTTGAAAAAAATATGAACAAATTCCTATGCACACCTCACATATCTTATTTGTAGTGCAAAGAAACAGGAAAAAACAATACAATATTTAAAATGCACTGTACACTGTAATGCACTGGACACCGCAATGCACTGTATACTGTAATGCACTGGACACCGCAATGCACTGTATACTGTAATGCACTGGACACCTCAATGCACTGTACTCTGTAATGCACTGGACACCACAATGCATTGTACACTGTAATGCACTGTACACTGTAACGCATTGATAAAAATGTCCTTGTATTTTGTAAGATGCAAGTAAGAAAAATTTAATGAAAAAAAAAGTAAACGTGCAGAACAAAAAAATGTGTTTTGTTTCGTTAAGTTACTAGTTTCGTTGCATTCGTAACAAAATTAATTTCATTTTGTTTCATTTATTAGTTTTCGACAGTATTCAAAAATTTTCTAATGGATCTAAAGTATTCAAATCAAATTTGAAGGCCCCCCCCCATCCACAGACCCCCACAACCACAGGCAAGGATTGTGGGAAAGAGGCCCTTGTTACCATTAACATAAATCACAAGGTGCTTTGGTTGGGGAGGCAGAGTTTAGCCATTAGTTACACTTTAACCTGACCCAATCAACTGTACACAATTAGGCTGTTAAAGGGTAAAGGAAGTGCCTGTAGAAAAGTAGAGAAGACTTTTTATGTTTAGGCAAACAATACCAAAATCACCTAAAAATACAAATTTGGATAATGAATTATAATGATAAAATCTTGGAGCAAATTAAAAAATAAGCTTTAGCTAATCTTTATTATATTATTTTTCTGCCAATGCCATGAGCTTAACAACCAGCTCTCAGGTGGAATTTTGCAATTGGTGTGGAAGCATAGTCAAGGTCTAAACAGCTTTTTATTAGAATTAACATTTCACTTCTTTCATTTTTATTTCTGTTTGCAGCAATTTTCTTTTTCTATTGTGCTCTGTTTATTATAGTTTTTTACTAGAATTTACTATATAATCAGGGAGATTTATCTGTCAAAATAGAATAGATTTAGACCAAACCAGTTAACTGTGTAATTGTTTCTGTGACAGACCGCCTGGCACCCCACTTGGGTGCCTCCATCAGAGAGCTGCTTCCTTGCCTCTAGAACACAGGAAAAAGGTATTATTCCTAGGAATTGCACCCAAGAAACCCAAACAGGAATTGTGAAAATTCACACATAATTTATACCACACAAAATCAAATTAGAGCTTGGTCACATTATCCTAAACAATGCAAACTTTAAATAGTAATATCATCAGTGTATCTAACAGTACATCTAATAAACAACTAGCAGCTAATAGTAACCTAATTAAACAGCGAACTCATTAACAGTAAGCTAATCAACAGCCAGGCACCCTGGCCAGCTTTGATTAGTCAGGGAGCCCACCCCAGACAGTCTGGCAACAAGCTCACAACCCTGAATACATAAAGTACTGTACATAACACATGCTGTCTTTCAGATGTTTGGCTTTCATGTATGTAATCTGTCCACTAGAAAAATCATCATAAGGCAAAACAATGTTCCAGCAGTCTGGATAAGTGTAGGAGCTTCTCCAACCCAATCTGCAAGAGGGTCACCATATTTCCTCTGACCATTAACTTGTACAAGATTACTATTACACCTTTCCATCCACTCCAGAAGGGAAGCTTTATTGTTTTTATTCAGAGAATTAATCCAAGCCTTGCTCTTGGCATTCATCACGTTGTTGTCCATCATTAGAGAATGATCTGTCTCTCCATGCAATTAGAAGCTGAACTGAGCTCTTTTCCATGCTCTGACTGGGAGAAGCAGACAAAATCCCTGGTCTCCTCCATGGGCCATAATCAGTGGGTAGAAGGCTAGCCCCTAGTCCCCTCCAACTGCCCCTGTCATGGTTGGGTCTGTCATAGTTTCCTATAAAACAATGCAACTGAAATTATTTAGACAAATACATTAACCTCCTCGGCGGTATGATTATTTCCGATTTTTGGGTGCTGAAAGCGGTACCATTTTTTTGCATGGAAATATGTAGTTTTTTATTGTAGGCTGTAATTTTTAGGAATAACTCACTGAAATCTGTCCGAACAAGAGTCTAGTAAACATTCCGGATATGATAAAACTTGAAACACGAAATCATAAATTATAATTTAATTAATAATCATAAAAATAATAATATAATAATAATAAATTTAATTCAATAATATAAACAAACCAAAAACACTGAAATTTGAAATATAGCGCCAAGTTCGCACATCGCTGAGCAAAGTCGCAAAATCGTTTTCAGTGTCTGATGACGAATTTGCCCACAAATCATTATCACTCAATTCTGCAAGTGGTTCTAAATTACTATAACTGTTCTCTAGCTAGTCTAAAACCGCTTTTGACATAAAGGGACGCTTTTTGGATGCCATGGACGTTTCTAAGTTTCCAGGCAGAAAGAACAGTCAAAATGCAGGCAGGGCACAGGACAAAGCAGTAGGGACAAAATATATGTGAAATGCATTGAAACAGCAATGTTTTACTATATAATAATCATTTTTAAAAAAATGAAATTTTTTAAAAATTTCAAATTTGCCGCCGTCACAGGACCGGAACACGGAAGCCGGATGCCGGCATCGGCCGGAGGAGATGGCCGGGGACGCTGCAGGGGACACATCGCGGGAGCGAAGGACAAGGTAAGCGCTGCAGGGACTCCCTGAGCAACGCCGCATGGTAAGCCCGAGTGTAGCTCGGGGTTACCGCTCTTGGTACTCAAATTTTACCCTGAGCTACACTCGGGAATTCCCGCCAGGGAGGTTAAAGTGATTCCAAAGGCTTTTTTTTAAAATAACAAACATGTCTACACTTATCTGCTGTGTGCAGTGGTTTTGCACAGAGCAGCCCGGATCCTCCTCTTCTCAGGTCTTCCGCCGCCGCTCCTTGCCCCTCCCTCCTGTTGGGTGCCCCCACAAAAAGCAGCTTGCTATAGGGTGCACCCACTGCTCTGTGTATCTATTTACACAAAGAGCCCTACCCCCCTCTCGCTTCTCATTGGCTCACTGGCTGTGATTGACATCAGTGAGAGCCAATAGCTCCTGCTTCTGTTTCAGCCAACAAGGAGCTGGAGTCTCGGGATAGCCGAGACTCCAGTGCACATCACTGGATCAAAAGGGGGCTTAGGTGATTATTTGGGGGGGGGGGGGGGGCTGCACAGAGAAGGTTTTTTTTACCTTTATGCATAGAGTGCATAAAATCTGTTTCTCGCTAACCATAGGCTCTAGATCTTATACTTAATATATCAAATTAAGCAATTATATCTCATGGCAGATGTATGCATTTATTCAAGATCTTCATAAGATCTGTGAACATGCTAGATAAGTGAAAGGAAAACATGGTAAACACAGACGATTTCAATTAAAAGAACATTAACAATATTTTTCACAACTAGTAAAAATCAGTGATTAGTTGGTTCCTCTGCTTGGAGAGAGCAGCTTGAGGAGTTTTTTTTTTCAGGTCTTAGATTACATTGGCAGTGAATTCTAAAATGAATCACGACAATTTAATTTCATTGCAAGCCAAGAATCTGTGCATTTTAGAAAATGTTGCCAAAACTGTAAAGGGGTTATTCACTGTAGTAGCACCTCTCTCCCACTTAATAAAATGAAAATATAATAATAATCTAGTTCTTACAACCTACTGCAATGCAAATCATAAGGAAAAATGTTTGTTTAATTTATTAGAAGTCTATTGAAGTTCATTAAGCAGACCTCAATGCACTGTTTGATTGGGCAACTATGTGGCAAATGAGGTTTAATGTTGACAAATGTAAAGTTATGCACTTGGTGGCCAACAACATGCATGTATTATACATTTTAAAGGGAGTACAACTGGGGGAGTCAGTGATGGAGAAGGATCTGGGTGTTCTGGTAGATCATAAGTTTAATAATGGCATGTAATGCCAAGCTGCGGTTTTTAAAGCAAGCAAAATACTTTCTTGTATTAAAAGAGGTATTGACTGCAGAGAGAAAGATTTGCCCCTGTATTAACTACCTGCCGACCGCAGATAGCCGAATGACGGCTGCACTGCGGCCGGCCAGTTCTGAGTGGACGTCATATGACTTCCTCCCAGAACGCGCTCTCCTGCGCGCCCCAGGGGGCGCGCACACCCGGCGATCTCTGAGATCGCTGTGTCCTACGGACACAGCTGATCACGTGATGTGGTAAAAGGCCAATCACAGCGGCCTTTTACCAAGTGATCAGCGGTGTCCAATGACACGCTGATCAGAGAGAAATGCAAGTGCCGGTTCTCGGCTGCACTTTCCTCACGCTGTCAGATCGTGAGGAAAGTACTGCCGAGAACCGGCAGTTGTCAGAGCGGGGATCGGCACCGATCATCAGGGCACTGATGATCAGTGCCCTGATGATCGGTGCCCAGCAGTGCCACCCGCAAGTTCCACCCACCTGTGCCCAGCAGTGCACCCACTAGCTCCGCCCACCTGTGCCCAGCAGATCACCCACCTGTGCCCAGCAGTGCACCCACCTGTGCCCAGCAGTGCACCCACCTGTGCCACTCTGCAGTGTCACACACCTTGTGCCCAGAAATGCCACCTACCTGTGCCCAGCAGTGCCACCCACCTGTGCCCACCCACCTGTGCCCATTAGTGCCACCCACCTGTGCTCACCCACCAGTGCTGCCCACCAGTGCCACCCACCAGTGCAGCCCAGCAGTGCTGCCAGTCAGTGCCACCAGTCAGTGCCCAGGGGTTGTGCCAGTCAGTGCCGCCAGTCAGTGCCCAGCAGTGATGCCAGTCAGTGCCGTCTATCAGTACCCATCATCAGTGTCACCTATCAGTGCTGCATATTAGTGCCGCCTATCCGTGACACCTCATTAGTGCTGTCTATCATTGCCGCCTATCCGTGCCACCTCATTAGTACTGCCTATCAGTGCCCTTTAGTGCTGCCTATCAGTGCCCATCAGTGCCTCCTATCAGTGCCCATCAGTGCTGCCTCATCAACGCACATCAGTGAAGGAGAAAAAATACCTGTTTGAAAAATTTTATAATAGAAACAAAGAAAAAAAATTTTTTTTTTCAAATTTTTTGCACTTTTTTTTATTTATAGCGCAAAAAGTAAAGCGCCCAGCGGCGATTAAATACCACCAAAAGAAAGCTCTATTTGTGAGAAAAAAATGTTCAAAATTTCATATGGGTACAATGTTGCATGACCGCGCAATTGTCAATCAAAAATGCGGCAGCGCTGAAAGCTGAAAATTGGCCTGGTAAATAAGGGGGTATAAGTGCCTGGTAGGCAAGTGGTTAATAAAGCCTCATCTGGAATATGCAGTTCAGTTTTGAATCACCAGCTCACAAAAAATGATATAGGAGAACTGGAGAAAGTGGAGTGGAGAAAGGGCAACCAAACTGATAAAAGGTATGGCGAAGCTCAGATTTGACCAAAGATTAGCTGAACTAAATGTATTCTCTCTGGAAAAGTGGCAATTAAGGGGCGATATCAACATGTATAAATACATAAGTGGTCTATGCAGTAAACTTGGTGTAGAGACATTCACTTTAAGGTCAATACAAATGGTAAGGGGCCCATTTTATGTCTGGAGGAAAAGAAATATTAACCTTCACATACAGAGAGGCTTCTTCACAGTAAGAGCTTTGGAAAATGTGTAATAGACTCCTTCAAAAAAATAGTTCCTAAATGTACAAATTATGCCTGGATATTAATATTTATAGATTGTTGATCCAGAGAATATCCAGTTGTCTTCAGGGAATCAGAAAGGATTTTTTTTTTTGCCAACAGGAGAAAATCAGACCATGCATTATAGAGTTTTTTGTCTTTCTCTTGACTAACTGTAGGTAAATTGCTCTGTATGTAAAGGTTTTCTATTTATTTATTTTTTTTGAAATAGATGGACTTTTGTTTTTTCACCCTGCCTAACTACTGTATATAAGTATGTGATGGTTTACAAGTGCAATGTCAGGAAAATTATTAGCTTATAGCCAGGGCTGATTTGATTCATAAATTGAAACCACCTAAAAAGTTTCTCATATTATATTGGGGCAGCACAGTGGCTAAATGGTTATCACTTCCGCCTGGCAGCACTAGGGTTGTTGGTTTGAATCCCAGCCATGGCACCACCTGCCTGGAGTTTGCATGTTCTCCCTGTGCTTGTGTGGGTTTCCTCTGGCTTCCTCCCACACTCCAAAGACACGCTAGTAGGTTAATTGGATCCTGTCTAAATTGGCCCTAGTATGTGTATGTATGAATGTGAGTTAGGGACCTTAGATTATACACCTCTTGAGGGTTAGGGACTGATGTGAATGTACAATATATATATATGTAAAGCGCTGCGTAAATTGATAGCGCTATATAAGTACCTTAAACAAATAATAATAAAATAAATATTCTCTTGGGAATATTGGTGGTGTAGTTCTACCCCCAGAGCAGCAGCTGAATTGTATTGTGATTTCCCTGCCACACCTCACTCACCCAGGGCTTGCCAAGACATCTTGAGGTATTTCAAAGAATTTATTAGGCCAATCATAGCCTAAAACAAGAGAGGTTTAGCAAGTGCATTTGTACAAACAATCAATAAGACAACAACATTACTCTGAGGGATATAGTTAAACACCTGTAGTTTTCTGACTAACAGTAAATAAAAGGACTGAACCTCATTTACTTAGAAACAATATATAAAGGCAGTCCTAACTTGCTATAAAAGTTCCAGTTTTATCCCACTGATCAATGACTGATGAAAGAAAAAACCCTTTGGCTGGCAAAGTTGGGGCCCTTGAAGAAGCACAACAGCAGACAACAGACTAACTGCGATGGTAATCCCTTACCAGAACCAGCACATCCTCTTCTGGGTCTCCAGACATGTGCTTTGATTCAGTAAAAGTCCAGGTAAAATCAGATTGTGATAGACGTTGCTGATAATCTCTCTCTTTCACTCCTAACAAGTAGTGAGAGTGCTCTCTATTACAGTTTCTTTGCTGTTACCCAATTATGGTCAACTATGGCAGGGATCATTCATCCAGCATCAGCAGCAACTCACTCTGCATTCTGCAGGCTGGTGGCACAACAGAGCACCCTTTCTTCAGTAGCTTAGTTCACTGTCCCTTTGCTCAGGTGCATCAGCCAATCATCATCTTCCAGACCCACTCAAGATGGCTGCCCACTGCACTGGAGACACTCAATAAGCTAGCATTACAAAGTGTTCTCTTTAAAGATGGCTACTGCATTTCTGCATTAGTGAATATTCAGTTTAACCCCATCCACACTGCAGAAGGATAATACAGCAGCAACAAAGGAAGAAGTTCCACAGCAGCTACAGTACAGGTTACAGTGGGCCCCCCCCCCCCTTCACTCCCTATTTTTCCTTAACTTTAGGGTAGACCAACGGATAATCAGGAGAAGTTCTCACTTATGGCACTGTGATGGGGGGTGAGGGGTTCTTTATCAAGAGTGCTGACAGCATATCCTAATACACAGAGTGCAACAGAATGGCTATCATAGAGCCGCTCTCCAAGTGTAGTCTGCAGGCTTGGGCTGTCACAGTCAGGTCCTGCTCCTCATTTATGAAGTGAAGTTGTGTATCATGTTCCTGGTGATGAATGGAATGCCTCTCTTGCACCTCCTGCCCAACACTTCAAAAGATTGAGACAAAGAGTGTGAGGGCACTGAGCGTCACAAGTGCCGGAGTAGCCAGACAACAAGGAACCAAGCCAGCAGACAGAGCAAGTCCAGGAAGCAGGCCAAGGTCATAACAGCCAGGCAGTGCAGTACAGAATCAGCAAGCAAGGACAAGTCCAGTAAGCAGGCTGAGGTCGGAGAGATCAGATGGACAAGATTAATGCAGGAAGGCAAAGTCTAGGAGAAAGCGGGTCATACACAAGTAAGCAGGTTCAAAGGATCAGGTCTCGGCAATACAGGCACAAGCTGAAGACCATTCAGCAAGTGCTCATGGTAACAGACCAGTTTAAATAGGCCACTGGGTGCCGCGGTCATGCTAATTGGTATGTGCACAAATGCGAGCACGATGAACTGGAATAGTACATCTATTGCCTATTTGCCTAGAAGTATGAGCATGTGAGCAATGTACATGCTCACGAGTATGAGCATAAGCCCACCCTGGTTTTCTAGTGCTGGGAATATGGATTACCTTACATTGTGGTTGCAACCTTCTTTCATAAATTGTCGTTATGTGTAAATTGTACAAAAATTTTATAAAAATGTTTAACTCAGAATGCCACAGTCTGTTTGGAGGCAGCTCTATTGGGTTCCCTTATGGAGTTAGCTAAGTTAGTGTATAGGGGTGGGTCCTTTGGCCTATTCCTCCCATCCTCTCCCTACTAGGACCATGTTTAGAGTCTGGAAGGTGGCCAGAATGCATTTTATTCAGCCCAATCAATGGTCCCCATATGATTCTCTTTGGGGAAATCCCTACTTACCTCACTATAGGCTCATCCCAGACCCATCAGTCTGGGCCCGATATGGCATTAAAATTCTTAGAGACATTAGGCCTTCCAGAGTGCTCTTGTCCTTCTGGAGTGCTCTTGTCCTTCCGGGAACTTTCCAGTAGGTTCCGATTGCCCCGATGGATGTACTTTCGCTACTGTCAGTTGCATCATGCCACTAAAACTCAGTTTCCCGAACCACCCCATGCTCGAGGCTGACATAATTGAGGGTCTACTTTTGCAGGAGTCTCTCTCTGAGCCAGTTTCCACACTCTATTCTGCTTTACTTAGGATGAGTTCCCACAAGATCAATAAACTTTGGGAACATTGGAGGACTGACATCCCGACCTTGGATAGTTATTCCTGGGAGGAAAGCCTTGAGCATAGTCCCAAACTGGTTATCTCCTTGAGGGACAAATTGATTCAAACCAAGTTTCTGCATAGGGTATATTATATGCCCCAGAGGTTGCATAGAATCTATCCGCAGAGATCCCCGGACTGTATTAGGTGCCGCATGTCTGTAAGTACCTTTTTTCATACATTTTGGTCCTGCCCTAGGGTAGTACAGTTCTGGATATACTCAGCTACAATTGTCTTTACCTTGTCTATACCATGTTCACCTGAGCTGGCTCTCCTGGATATACAGGACAATGAGCAAAGACCCAGGCATATGAAACTTTTGGTTTTCTACCTGCTGTACTATGCAAAAAAGAAGTTCTTTGTAAGTGGACATCTCCGTCCCCTCCCACATTTGCATCCTGGGAGTCTGCCATCAATGCTGTGCTACCTCTGTATAAACTGACTTATATTAATAGGAATATCCTGGGAAAATATGACAGGATTTGGCAGCCATGGGTAGCACAGTGAGTGTCTTTGCACTTTTTCCTTGTGATGCCACTTATGCTATGCTTTGTTGCCTGTGTTTGTCTGATTGTTCTACTCATCTATTTTATACACCACTTTTGGAGATACATGTTCTTGGCATTCGTATGCTTGACATTCATATTCTTTCTTTTGACCCTGTATACACTTTCATAATACTGCTTTGTAGTTGATCTTTCTCTGGAGATTGTACCATTGATATCAACAATGAAGAGCAATACTGGTTGTAAAACAAAGTTTAACTCCCCCCTTGGTTAACCATAAAGGATATTAATAATTCTTTCAACCCCTTCAACACTTTGTGGTAAATTATTTT